GAAACCGGCGGGTTGGGCCGGTTGGGTGAGGGGTGACCATTTTGTAATTTTCCATTATTTCTGTTTAGTATTTAAGGAGAGGCAACATTGTTCTGCAGAAGCAATCAATAGAGAATATTTCAACCCAAATCCCTAAAATCCCAATTCTCTCTATCTCTTGTTCTTCCCCAATTCTTCTCAAATCTCTAATTTCTTCTCTTCTCGATCCCTAATTCCCTTGTGGAACTTCTTTGTTTCTAACACTCACCCCTCTCTTCGATGGCTGCTGGAAGTTGAATACCCAGGTGCAGACAATAGTCTCCAGAGACACCACCTACCTTTCTCCTTTCTTTCAATTGAAGTCGAGTGGAGGAGTTCTTTCAATTTATGAGCTCACGACAATGCAGGGTCTGTGTATTCGGATTGGATCTGGGCGGCGTCAGAAGTAAAGAGGAGTGAAGACGAAGAAGCAGCGGGAGGAGTTCTGGGTGGCGACAACGTACGTTAGAGTTAATTACTTATTGTCAAAGCTGGTCAACTCTAACGGGCAAATTGTTTAGGACATAAATGTCATATTGGATACTTTAGGGCACAAATTACACATTCTTATTAGTTCGAGTTTCCTAGTAACATTACCCTATAATCAAATATGAACATTCCGACCAACATGCCGAGTTATAAGCTAGTACAATATAATAGTCATCCCTTGGCTTTCCACCTGGTATCACTAGTATGACTAAGGACAAATATTTTCAACTGGATAACCGATTCAAAAATTGATATTGGATAAAGTAATTTTTGCATAAAAAAGCTTATGACATTCTTTAATTTGGGTCTATTACAAAGGTGACTATCACTTAAAAAATACTTAACATACGGTTTGATATAAATGAATTCCATAAGTTTTGACAAATTTACTTTGAAATGAAATCCTTTTATGTTTGGTATATAAAAGAATTTATTTTCAATTCAAAATTTTGAATTCTACGAAATTTTATCTAGATATAGCAATTCCGAAGAATTGAAATTGAACTTACAAATGAATTACACAAGTATTTACTAATTATAATAGAATGATATAATTGTCCTCATTTACTAACTAAATTACTTCTACATGTATTATTTGACACCAATTCATGCCGTATAAAGAAAGTTGGTAGGAATTTGATTGCAACGTCGTCCTTTCGGCTCACCACAACTCACTACAGCCCCGACCTTTTTTGCCACATCCAATCTGAAATCGAATCCCCAGCCGTCGCCCTCTCTGTACTTCCCCGATCGTCGCTATGTTTGTTGGCATCTGGTCCGTCTTGCAAGTCCCGGAAAAAAATCCCGACTACCCTCGCTCTCGCCGTTTGTTTCGCCGGTGCAAGTCGCTCTCGCCGTCTCTCTTCCAAACCCTCCGAGAAGAAAATCCCACGCACTGTTGTTTCTAGCTGATTCTAAAATCCTAAGAGCTTATATGCTATCCAAGGTGGGTTTTAGAGTACCAATTCTCCAAATTAGAATAATTGATTATGGCCGCTAGGTTGTTCGGGAGGCTATCCATCGATGCTACTATTGTACTCCCCAGATTATTGGTGGCGTTTACAAGATTGTTCTGTTCACTTTTATATCCAATCTTCGATTCTAATTTCGGCGCGGAGATATTGTGCCCTTCTGTAAAATTCAATCTCCCCTGACCCTAATTTGATTCGCATTTATATGTTGAGATAGGAACATATTTTCTTCGGATTCTCAAATCCCTACAAAAGTTGGTGGTCTCTGCCCCAGTTGCTGCACAATGGAGTTGCTCGCCACCTAAGCTAGGGCTTGAAATTAATTATAATTTTCAGGACTCAAAGAGCTACAGGTTATTCCCAACTTCCTTCAATCTTCCTGAATTCAGTAGTTGTGGATTTTAGTAGCTGTGTGAATTTAGCAATTATTACCAGCCTTGGGAGTTATGTCAATTCAACTTGATGTCTCTGAGTGCAGTGGTAGATTAGGCAGAATGTGCGTGTGACGTAATACACGTTCAAAATGTGGTTGGGCTTGGGAATGCTTGGAAATTTGTTCAGTCATATGTTCTGCAATTGTGCTTTCACTTTTTCGGATTATACTGTAATTGTGCCTCCCTCTGTCGTTGTGCAACGATCACAGAGGTGCTTTCCTGTTTTTTTTGTGGTACACCCCTTCTCTCTTTACAACAGCAAGTCCTGAAACTACCATCTCTATCAGCATTTGGACTGCCTCATGTTTCCTGAAATCTGGTATTCCAAAGATTTTGTTGTTGGAAGTTTTAGGCACTCCAAATTTGTTAGGTCTACTACATTCCACAATACTGAGAAACAAATTCGAAACTCAATTGTAACATTGCTCAAAGATGACATGGAACTCACATTCAATCCACCTTAGTCAAATTGAATATATTTCGTTCAATGTAAGTAATAGCTATGAATTGATTCCCATCAAACTCTTTCTTGCTCCATCTGTTACATTTAAATAGAATGAGTTTTAAGTAAAGCTTTGGTTTACGTTAGGTGGACCAAAGCTAGGTCTTGCAAATCATTCGAAGCTCAAGTAATTTGAATTAGTGAAATCAAATTAATGTATTCCCAGTTAGCTTATGCGGCCTCATTTAACGATTGTTTGAAACCATTATGTTTCGTGGGCTACACAATTAACTTTTCTTCTAGAGCTCTCATTTACATGTTTAAAAAAATGCATGATGTCAATTTAAAGGTTCTGGATAATCTACCTTCCTTTGGACATTTTATATGAGAGTCTGAAATTAGAAACTAATTGTTTTTTTTTTCCTATAAGGGGAGCTTTGTTTGTCACCAACAGAAGCGACGTTGCTAAAAAAGCAATCTGGATATTCGAAAAGTGCATCAATTTAGTATTGGGTATGTGTGTCTATAATAGTATTAGCTTAATTGCTATGTTCATTACACCAACAGCTCGAATTTCATGTGTTTGCGATTGCTATAATTAGAAGAATGCAGTGGCCTTTAGGGGTAAGCTTCAAGCTCTGTGAGTGCTCACTCCTAGACTGCCTTCTTTGGTCTACCAATTTCATTTGCTGCTGGTCTTCCTATTGAATTTGAGGAGTCAAGTTTCTTGAAATAGCTTGAATAGCTAAAGAATTAGAATGATGTTCCTTTCAATCTGGGCCTGGTCTGTTTTATATTAGAAACTTAATTTGAATTGTCACTAACAACAGTCAATGTCATAATGCAAACATGTATTTATTAGTCTTTTACTCTCTTTTCATGGGATTCCTACTATTTTTTGTTATTTCCTTGCATTTAGTCTATGTATGTCGATTCAAAGTTGTTGGGCCAAGCATATTATGAAACTATTTTTTTATTGCATTTGAGGGATTTCAAAAACATGGAAGACCAGAATGTAAGGGTTTCTCCTGTACAATTGGCAGCCTTTTTAACACCTCTAATTTATCTAATATCAAATTTGTGTGACCTTCAGGATAAAGTATTTGCGGTTGAAGGAAAAGTGATTCAATGCCCTTGCAAGTGGAAGAGGACGTGTAAGAGTAGTTTTGTATGCCCTTGCATATGGAAGAAGCATACAGATTTATGATTTTCCCCCTAAATTTGATTCCATGTTCACCATGTGTATAGAGCCAAACTCCAATTGCAATATGATACTTGAGCTAATTTTTCCATTTAAGAACATGAAGGCCTGTGTTTTTTGGGAGTAATGACTTATGTGTTATTACAATCAAATCATACTCATCAAGTTGTTAAGATGACACTGAAACTACACGTTAAACTTACTCAGTTCAATTTCTTGAATCCTCAAGCTAAGTATTATGTTGTTTTGTTGATCATGATCCACTTTAGCTAGGTGACGAACATCTCAGCTCACATCGCTTCAGTTTACCTATAGCGTATCATATTAACTTAATAGTTTAAAACTATCCTATTACTATAATTTTATGGATAAATTGCAAGTTTAGTCAGTGGAATTACTATTTTATTTTATGTTGTGTATTTATTTTTAGGGTTAAATTAGGCTGATTAGGCAATTCTGTTAGCCACTTAAGCAAATAAGGGACTCAATTAACGGAGAGTGACCAAACTTGAAGTCTTCTTCTCTCAAAACGAATGAGATGCTTGGCGTTCTGCTCTAATGATTAAGGTCCTGGGAAGGACATACCCTGACCATGTAGTAGTGAAGCGTCTGCAAGCACTCTGGGCAAGAACTGGACATATTTAACTAATTTTAGTGACTATGAACAACATAAAATATTTTTAGTCGCAAAACTTTTTAGTAATCCCAGTGACCAATCTTACAATTTATCCCTAATTTGATTGTAGCAATTGATTGAGACACCAAGTCCCGAGGACCTTGGTTGGACAATCTTAACCAAGCTGAAAATGAAATACGTGTTGTTTACTGTGACCCTGAGGAGGAGAAGTAGTATTGCTGAAAACTTTGTGTAGTTAAGGGTCACTATGTAAAGCTTCTGTTTAGTATTATGTTTTCATCTATGTGATGTTTATTGTTTAGTATTATGTTTTCATTGAGGTTGATAATGAAACTTTGTTACTACGTTTTTCCCTCATGGGATTGTCTTCATTTGTTCATTTTCAATTGTGGAATACAATGGGGGCTTTGCCTTCAATATTTTTCTCATTCGTTGGATAGTTTTACCCTTATGTATATTGCCTTTTTTGTATCTCAAGTTTGGTTGATAACTACGAAATCAATCTCAAGGTTAGTCAAATCTGAAAGTAGCTCTGTTTTTTTATGAATGAAAAGCCACTTACAAGATTTTGCTTCATTTTTTATATAATCTGATTGTTGGTGTTTTCTTTCTTTCTTGCATGTCGAGGCATCAACTATTTGCTTATCAATTTGGAGGACTGGAATTTTGTATAATTCTATCATTTACATTATTCTTTTTAACTAGGTATTTGTTTGTTACTATTATATTTCATCGAATTTACAACCAGAATGCATGTTTTTATCGGGTGATAATGCTCTTATATAGACGCTATTTGTGGTGTTTTCTATGCGAATAGAATTTCATCAGTAGTTTGTATAAAAATAATTCTCACAATCTAACGATTTTTTTAATAACCATAAGGTAAAGATTTGGTTAAGCATAATCAGTAGCTACATATTATACTACTTAACCATTTATATGTTCTTCAAATAGAATAAAACAAAATTCACGGATAGGTTTTAAACGGCACCGGCCAACGGACCGGGCCCAATGCTAGTATAATCATAAGAAAAAGAAAAAACCCCAACCAATGTGGTCTATTAAGTTTGCAGCTATTCTTATCCAAGCCCAATTACCGGTTCTGTTGTTAACCTGATCGCCGCCCAAAAATTGCCCACAACAAGCTTCCACAACAAGCTTCCACAGACCACACAACACACCACAATTACAAATACCGTTTCGAGGGCACCGACTCAGTGAGTCATTCTACAACAAACCCCCAAATTTTGGCGCCCCCAAAACTCGTTTTGAACACATCCACCTTCTCCCGCTCTCTTTCTCTCTCATCTCAAGTAAATTCCAGGCGATAATGGAGCAGCAGCAGCAGCAGCAGCAGCAAAGGAACCCGAACTTGGCGCAAGAACAGCAACACGAGGATAATGGCCCTATCCCTGTCGAGCAGCTTCAGGTATCTCAGCAGCCATCTCCAGTCTTCATTTGTTTCCATTAGTTCTTATCTTCCCCAATTTTCTTGGTTAGATCTGCTTCTCTCGCATCGTTTCAACTTTGTCATCTGAGGAGGTCGGGGTTCGCTGATTCAATCAGATAGATTCTACAGCTTCGTTGTCCGTTGGGATGGACAAAGGTTCCATTTTTTGTTGGATTAATCTTGACCCACTTCTGATTTTGCGTCTAAATGTGGGGTTTTATTGTTGGGTTAGGTGAAATTAGTTATCAGGAACGAACACTTGTACTTGGTTTCTCCTTTACTTTTCCTATGCCGATCTTGCTCCAAAATGGGTATTTGGGTTGTGAAAGATGGATGAATCTGTGGTAGATTTAGGGTTTTACTAAATGAGGTTCCTTGAATTTTCTTCAGGAATCGGGTATAGCTTCCATTGATGTGAAGAAGCTAAAAACTGCCGGTTTCTGTACAGTCGAGTCAATTGCATACTCCCCTAGAAAAGAACTACTGCAAATTAAAGGAATCAGTGAAGCTAAAGTTGACAAAATCATTGAAGCAGGCATGTTCCACTTGGTTGTGCCTTCCCTTTTCCATTTTTTGGTTGCGCAATTGAGAGTTTCATTCACTTCAACAAAAACTGATGGATGTAACTTGTTTTTGTTTGTCGTATTCAGTGTCCAATTTGGTCCCGCTTGGTTTTACGAGTGCCAGCGAACTTCATGTCCAGAAGTTGAACCTAGTTCAGATCACATCTGGGTCAAGAGAACTAGACAAGATCTTGGAAGGCAAGTCAATTTTTTTCTAACCACTCATAAGACCCTGATCACAAAAGAATGAGCTTTCTTTGGAACACTGTAAACAAAAGTTCTCTGCCTTGTGTGATCAAGTTGGTATCTCGGTTGATTTGATTAGATTTTTTCTTTCAGGCGGCATTGAGACAGGATCCATCACTGAGTTGTATGGTGAATTTCGCTCTGGAAAGACTCAGCTCTGCCACACGCTTTGTGTTACCTGCCAAGTACGAGCTTTCCTGCGTGTACCTCTTTTCTTCTGCATTTGTTTAAGGGATTAATATGATTTGCTGATACTGAAATCATAAAGCATCGGGTGGACTACTCCACTACTGAACCTGATGGTACCGTTTAACCGACAATTCACTAGCCAGTTCTCTGACGAGTTCTATAACCCATGATGAATATAAGTAGGAATTTTCATTGAAACTGTGATGTTTTCAATCAGTTTCTCATGGAAAAACAGGAATTTCAAAACTATGGGGTATTTATCTTTCTCTCACACATATTTTCATGTCAACAATGTCAGCTTCCATTTGATCAAGGGGGTGGCGAAGGAAAGGCCATGTACATTGATGCTGAAGGCACATTCCGGCCCCAGAGACTGCTTCAGATAGCAGAGAGGTATTATCAAGGTTCCTTACTGGAAGATACTATTGTCTCGTTCATCCTGATACTGTAGATGACTCACACATAGCTTCACATATCACACCAAATCAATCTACATTTCCATCTCCATCTGAAATTTGAACCCTAGATATAGGAGACAAAAGTGCATAGTCGTTTGTCATTCCTCTTCGTCACACGTCACTCATCAGCCTTCATGAATCATCTCTAGACTCCCGGTAAATTCCTCAAGAAACGGAAGTTAAAATATGTAGTTGAATTGAGTAGGAATGAGTTGGAGAAGTACTTAATTGAAATAGTTGAAGAGGACACTGAAGACATTAACATCTTAAACTGGTGGAAGATGAACCACCCTAGATTTCCAGTCTTGGCTTGTATGGTTCTCGCTAATACTCATCTCCACAGTGCTTTATGAATATGCTTTAAGCACTGGTGGTAGAATTTTTTATGAATATAGGGGTGCTATAACTCCAAGTAAAGTTATGTTATATTGGTTAAATCAATTAACCAAACCGTTTAAACTTTGGTTGGTTAATTTGGTTCCTATGTTAATTTGGTTGGTGTGGTTAAGTTATTTTGTTCCATGTTTAATACCATGAGTAACCATTTGAGTATCCCTAGTAGAAATACTAATTGTCATAGTGCAGGTATGGACTGAATGGTGCTGATGTCTTGGAAAATGTGGCATATGCAAGAGCTTATAACACCGATCACCAGTCACAGCTTTTGATTCAAGCAGCTTCCATGATGGTGGAAAGTAGGTATGACTTGGGACTGCCATCCGTACGCACTTGGAGTTTAGCCTTTCAACATCACTTAAAATGTTTGTTCAGTACCCCCAAGCAATTAGCGACTAGTTACTTAGAAACTGAGTAACTTGGACGATTCAGTAGAATTTATCTTATGCCTGGGGTGATTGGTGTCCATAGTTACAAATGACGTTTGTGATTCTACAGATTTGCTGTTCTGATAGTAGACAGTGCTACAGCATTGTACAGAACGGATTTCTCTGGCAGAGGTGAATTGTCTGCTCGCCAAATGCATCTTGCCAAGTTCCTCAGGAGTCTTCAGAAGATGGCTGATGAGGTAGCATAAACTCTGCAGTTGGAAATTGCATTTCGTATTAAGTACATTGCAGGCATACAGATTGAACTGATTACGCCGAGGATGTTTGCTGTGCGTTTCTGTGATATTTTTGGGTTGGGTTGCAGTTTCAGGTAGCTGTGGTGATTACAAACCAAGTAGTTGCACAGGTAGATGGCTCTGCTATGTTTGCTGGTCCTCAAATCAAGCCTATAGGTGGTAACATCATGGCACATGCTTCTACAACTAGGTTGCTTCCCTGGCCCCTCATTTTGCACACTTTCCGTTTTGGCTATCGCCATTTTCAGGATTCACCCACAGTAGAAGCAATCTCATTAACACCAGTTGTGTTTCTTTAATGCTTATTCCCAGGCTTGCGCTTCGGAAGGGAAGAGGAGAAGAACGCATCTGTAAAGTGATAAGCTCTCCTTGTTTAGCAGAAGCTGAAGCACGGTTTCAGATCTCCCCTGAAGGTGTAGCTGATGTTAAGGATTGAAATATGTTCACCAGCTTAGGAAGCAGCTTGCCTTGTGAAAATACTAATGTCTCAGTTTGATGTCGTTTCTGTCGATTTCATTTCATTGATGAGGCTAATACTAATAGGTTACAACTACACAGATCGGGTGCTGAAGTCATAACCAATGGGTTGAGGTCATCTAACTTCAAATCGACAAAGATAAGCAAACAATTAGTAATATATGCAGTTCACAAGAACAAAATTGATTAAACAATTCAATTATAGAACTCTTCCTTCACTGTTATGTTGTAATACTCGTATATAGCTGCCAAAATACAACTCTACTCGGTTAACTTGTTTGGTACATCTGACATGTGATCTGCCCGTAACTCGAGTTTACTAAAAGTTAATGACTCGTAATCCGCCGATCTAGTTGATCCATGCCCATACAAGATTATGTTGGCAAAATCAGATATGGTGGGAGTGGAGCAGTAAAAACTAGCATCGGTGCTCTCTTTTAAAGATTAAATTTCCTTTATTAATGAACGAATCCATTCCTTTCTCGGATAGGGATGGCAACAGTTCAGGTCTGGTTGGGGACGGATAGTGCATATTCGTTACCTTATCCAAAGTAGTTTAGATTTTATCCATACTCATACGAACATAAAAATCGGGTACAAAAATTAGAACTATACTCATATCTGTTCGGGTTTTGGGTATTCACGGTTATCCAATGGATAATAATTTCTATTTATAACTCAAATCAACATGTTAATATTCACACGTATACTACCATTATATAAGTGAAAAGTACGACAATAAAACACTAGAATGAAAAATAATAATTAAACAGAACACGATCTCATGAAAAAATTATATTTCTATGCTATATATCAAATATTGTGAGCAAAATAATAATCATTTCTAGATAAAATACATATACATGTTTATAATCGATCGAGTTCGGGTTGGATAGTGCAAAACCCACACCCACCCATTATCTGGAATATACAGGTTGAGATTTTACTCGTACCTAGTGAAAATCCTTCGCGTTCGGGTTTTACCCTGCCTGATTAGATCGGATTCGAACGAATATCCACGGTTCCGGATATTTTTGTCATCCCTGCTCTCGACCATCATTTTCACACCCTCAATATCATCTCTCATCTCTCCTCTCTTTCCCACCACTTATGATTCCACTATTTCTTAAACTTGGAACAATGAGGAGGGATAGAACATCAGAGAGAAAATTTATTGTGCTGGCGTCCCCTCTAAATTGGAGAGAAAAAGGTGTTCGGTTGTCCATTTCTACAACTTTAAAACAGTAAGGGGGATAAAAAAAAAACTAGAGAAAAAATTTATTGTGTCAACCTCCCCTCCAAATTGGAGAGAAATGGTGTTCGGTTGTCCATTTCTAAAACTTAAAATAGTGAGTATGGATAGAAAACCGGAGAGGAAATTTATTGTGCCGACCTCCCCTCCAAATAGGAGAGAAAAGGTGTTTGGTTGTCCATTTCTTAAACTTAAAACAGTGAGGAGGGATAGAAAATCAGATAGAAAATTTATTGTGCCACCCTCCCCTCCAAATTGGAGAGAAGAGGTGTTCAGTTGTCCATTTGTAAAATTTAAAACAATGAGGAAGGATAGAAAATCGGATAGAAAATATATTGTGTCAGCCTACCCTCCAAATTGGGGAGAAAAGGTGTTTAATTGCTCATTTATGAAACTTAAAACAGTGAGAAGAGATAGAAAACGAAAAGAAAATCTATTGCACCGGCCTCCCTCCAGATTGGGGAGAAAAGGGTGTTCGGTTGCCCATTTATGAAACTTGGAACAGTGAGGTGGGATAGAAAACCGGAGAGAAAATCGATTGTGGCGGCCTACCCATTTTCAAATATTTTCTTATAAAAGTTATAATTATCACATATTTACTCTTACATAATAACAACTAATATATCTATCATAATTTTCAATATATTTTTTCCCTTCTAACTTTCCTTTCGCTTTGCACCCTGAAACATCTTCCCTTACTATTTTGCTCTCTCTCCAATATTCCTTCACCTCATAATTTTCATTTTCGTCCTCTTCTTCCCAAACAGAGCGACTTCAAAAAGAGAACGATAATCTTGTGTCATTTCATTTCTACTTTATCACAAAACTGGAGTGGGCGAATCATATGATTTGGAAAACTAAAAAATCAAGGATTAAAAGACAAAAGAAAGATTCTATGACTGCCACCAACTCCTTTTTTTCCCTTTTTACAAAAGACCACCACAAATGAAGGGGAAAAAATCGACATTTTGAAATTTACATGTACAAAGCAAAAAATATAAAGGGGCCAGCTGGCCTCAATCTATAGAAGCACCTCCGTCGTACCGCCACCTGAAATGTTATCTTCACATGCATCGGATTGCGACCCACTAGGAACAATATTTGTCGGAGACCACTGATCTGGCACCATGACAAAATAAGCAGTCATGGCTTTCCTGAACCTTTTCTTGTACTGCTGAGGTGAGATCACAGTTGGTGTTGTGTTCTTCGACCCACCAAGGATTCCAGAGGCTTTTACCCAAGTCTCCAGATGCTTATCCCAAGTGTACTGCCTCATGAAATCGATAATTCCGAGTGCCAGCTCGTGTTTTCCTTCATCCACCCCAACCAGTAGCGAGTAGTCCATTACATCAATTGACTGCAAAAGTAGTGTAGTGTTGAACAAGAACAGAAGGCATGCGGCCAAATTGCATTTACGCAGCTTTAGGCAAAGGGGTAAAAAGATAAAAAGAATCCAACTTACTGCGAGAAAGGCAGTGTCGTTCCACACAGATCTTTCGAGTAATCGCTTTGCCTTGTTCCCAACAAATATTGGAGATGTTGGCATTGCTTCAATCAAGTTTTGGTCTAGCATAACCTTGTTGCTCCCACTTGTATCTGGATTATAACGAGAACGTGAAGATCCTTTAAGGTCATAAAGTCGGGTCACATCCCGCCTGAACAGAAGATTCTCCATCACAAGGATATCCATCTTAGTTTCTTTTCCTCCTTTGACCTGCTTTGAGACCTTCAAGCACAAAATTTGGTCACATGGAAGATCACTTGAACAACATCGTTGTTTTTGCAGCATGGTAGTTACAAATACAAACATTATTTCCTTTTCAGCAACTACCTAGTCATTCTATTGAACATACTATTAAACCAAACACAAGAAATACAACAAATTTCAAATTAAAACACACCAGCTTAGACTTGAGGGATGTTCACACAAGTCTATCCATGTAAACTTATACTCCAAATCATGACAAGGTTACTTTGTTTAATAACAGGGTGGAGAAGGGGGACTCCTTTGTTTGTTAGATAAATGAATAGAGCAAATATATACCTGGTATATGCCAAGTATCTTCGCTAAGCATGTTGGACTTCGTGTACTAATTGATTGTGACAAGTACTTAAAATATGCTGGTCCAAACTTGATGAATGACTCCAGCTCTGTCTTCGTCACCTGCTTGATGATAAACCGATCATCCAAAGTTTTGGCAAAGAAGACATTGCTCTTGCCACCTTGGGCTCCCCATTTCTTACAACGACTTAGAGATTTTACAAAGTCTAAATCACAAGGGCAACAGATCTTCCTCAAAGCCTCGAACCTCTTGGCATAGTAACATGTAACTGTATACTTCACCTTACCTAGAGATCCATCAGCATTGAAAGATACTCTGGCATGTAAATCCTTGGTGTATGAAAGTGGGTCTAAAACCTGGGACCCTCTATAACTAGCCAATGATAGGATACTCTCATCCATAGATCCCAGACTTCCAAGGGTATCCGAAAGAGAGTCATCAACTGACTGAGAGAGTAGACTTATTGAATCTAGAAGAGGGAATGGGCTTCCAACATCCTTTGGTTTTTCAAGCTCAGACATTTGAGTATGGTAATCAAATGAAACAAGAGCATGTGCAACAATGCTTGTAGGCTCATCATCATATATAGGCACAATTGTACCATTAACTCCAGCAGGGAGAAGCAACCTAGCACCACTTTGTCGTTCCATTTCCTTCAAAAGTGGAATGTAGATTGGATTGTACTCGCTCAAACTAAGATTTTGAGGAATCAAATAACTGCTACCAAATGAGCTATATGAATTTGGAGATGACATCCCTGCTTCATTTATTGACTTATGTTCATTGTGAGTGCCATTTGGTGGTGGTACAGAAACAAGAGAATGAGCTCCACATATTCCAGCATTATCATCGACAACATTTTTGAAGTCTGAATTTGCTGTGACAGTACATGTCCTAGCTAAATTAGGAAGAGAACAACCATTCATTGTTGTATGATGGTTTTTTCCAGTCCATGCTGCATCAAAAGTATCAGGCAAATTTTCTGGAATAGGAAACTCACCCTCAGAATGTACCCTCCGTATGAGATTTCCCAGTTGATGGGGACCCGTTTGCTCTATTGATGAAATCTGATTCAGTTCGACATCTCTATTATTCTGATCTTTGATTCCATGGTTCATATCTGGCTTAGTTTCTAAAAGGAAGGAATCACAACTACTAGAGCCTTTAGCGGGCATTGAATTGTCCAACTCTTTGAGCTTTTCAACAGAGCCAATGTGCTTCCCCTTTGTTTCCAGCACAGAATTCTTCTGGCCTTTCTGGGCGATGCGCATACTTAAACTAGCTGCATGAATCAACCGTTGATCCCAAACATAGGAATGGACAAGTATCTGCCTCCTTAACATATTAATGCCAAGGATATCAGCCACAAGTTGACCAGCTTTATCTCCCCTCATATATGTTTTCTGTAAAGATTCCAGGCCACCAACAACATCTATCAGTATCCAGAAGTTAACTCAAACTTATAGAAAATGATAAATCTTAATAGTTCTCTGTATTTGGAGAACTTAATAGTGAGACATATAGCAATTGTTTCACCTAAAATATTATGAAAAATCAAATTACAAACATATGTAAAAGACTAAGTCCTCAAGATTAGATGTAACTAGTGTACAACTAACAAAATCGTCAATCAATGAAATATGGTGTTGCCGATCATGGAAGTAACTAAAGAGCACAAAGAAATATTTGGAGTCATGGGACGTACTGCCATACACTCCTTTAAATGCTGGGGTTGCTTAGGTAAAAATAAACTACCTCAAATTCTTCCTTTTCCTTTTGTAATACTTGCTCCAACTCCAAAACACAAAGTCTTAGTGATTCCTTAAAATTATAATCATGTACCCCTGCCTTTGAGCTATTTTCCAAGACATTATGAAAAGCAATGCCCACTTCAGTAAACAGAAGTTCTGCCACTTGTCGAACCTACAAAACAAATAAAAAGTCACATTAGCATTAGTTTAACACCTGAAGTCACCAACTGAGCCCCTAATGAAGTTTTACTAATCATTTCACCTCATTTTCTTCCATCCGTATCCACTCCTGACTATCGTGGTTAAATTCAAGTTTTGAAGGTGGAAGAAAAACCGAGTTAACATCAATTGAAGCATATCGGAAGCAAGCAACCATTCTCCCAAATCTGCATGCATAGAACGCAAACTGCAGAGTTAAAGATGATGCTGGGTATGTCTGAACTACACAAGAATGCAGGGGAAAAAAACAAGACCATACACACAAGACACAAAATGTTAGCAAACCTACCCGTAGAATCGAAGACAATCTCTGTGAAGAGAGTGACCGCAACTAGCAACCCTGCTTGCAGCTGCGTGATTTGAGAAGCTAAGTTCTAAAAACTTACCAAAAGACAAGCCCCAGGCAGCGTCAGACATAACAACTCTGTGGGTAGCAGGAGGGAAGGCATTAATCCGAGGACATCGAAGACACCGATGCCACATCCAGATCTTTTCATCTCTTTCCCCAGGTAAAAGAAATTCTGGTAGTTTCCTAACAGATATGGTGAGGCTTCCTTGTCGATGAGTATAACAATGAACGTGTGCTTCCGAAGGCATCTCACAAGAATGACAGCGGTAGTTCTTGCACACAAAAAAATTCATAACACATCAGCCGTATCAGTACACCACTCAGATAATAATCAATAAGGAAGCAAGGCCAACTAGGGGTTATAACATATACCTGATCAAACAACTGATCTCGTAAGAAACGTCCAAGAGGCCTGTCAAAGCTCCCATAGTACTTGATCCGACATAGATGGGCCCTTTGACACACGGTTCCCTTCCAAACACATCGTGTCGATGAGGACACTAGTATACTTTGGTGGTCAGAAGGTGATGGAGGAAAATCCTCTTTGGAAGATCCAATATCCTCATTCTGATCAACACCATCTTTCTTAAAGGATCCTTGAGTAGCATAACTATTAGTTGTCATAAGGTTGTTGGCATGGCTACTGACAACATCTTGTTGTGGCAATCTTGAAAATGCTGAGAAGATATCAGGGGCCAGCTTATTGACATCAGCTTCTTCATCTTGTAAAGTATCTCTAGAATCCACGCCATAGGCTCCACTAGAAATGTGATGTGATGGGAGCCGGTCACTGTGAGAATCCCATATATAATCCCCAAAAGAAGATGGAGAAACTAAACTAATATGAGGTTCATTTTCATTCAACCCAAAATTTGGGCACAACATCTTAGGGGAAGGAATCTCAGACATCCAATTAAAATCCCCATCTATTTTGTTAGCAAATTTATCAATAATTGATGACGTTGTATCTAACGCTAGGTCATTCTCGCTTTTGTTTGGGGTCCCTGCCCCAGTATCTGACTTCTCAAGCCCAACAGGAGTCTGAGGACTAGCAGGATTTTCACCACCTGAAACTGTGAAACCGGGTATAGCTGATATGGACCTATCTATACTTAACTTATCGGGTAGTCCAACCGTTAATGGAGACCTCAGAGGAAGCTCTGGCAATGATGCACCCTCGTCTGCTAGAAAAGATGTCTCTACAGCTAA